GTGAGTCCGGCGGCGGGGGGCGGGGGCCGCGATGGGGAGGGCCGGGCGAGGGCGAGGCCTCGCGCCGCGGCGCCCGGGAGCCAGCGCGCCCCTTCCCCACGCGCACAATATGGCCGGGCGGGCGGGGGGCGCGGAGGAGTCGGGGTGACCCCGGTGTCTCCTCCCGACCCCCGAGGCTCGGCCGCCCAGCCTCGACCGCGCTCACGCCTGTCGGGGGGCCCCTGAGGACTCGAGCCCTCTCCCAGGCGGAGCTGGATTCGGGGAGCTAGCTCTCCCCGGGGGTGGTGCTCCAAGCACCCCGATATTTCATAAAGGGAGGGCAGGCTTCTTTCAAAAATGGAGAGATCCTGCTTTTGCCCCTCCGCTTGTCCAGGGCCGGGGGTCTCCGTGTCCTCTCTCCGGGTGCTCCTGGGGGAGGATGCCGTTTCTCCCGCCAAGACCGTGGGGCTGCGGCGGCAGGGTCTGTGCTTCCCCAGGCACCCGGAGGCGGAGAGCCCTCGCGCACCTCCGAGGGGAGGGGACGGGGTCTCTAACCTCTCCTCCCGATCCTGCACTGGGGGCGCCTCTCCGCCTCCCTCTCCTCCCTCCCCCCTGCTCCTGCCGGGGAGTCCCATTTCCCCGTCGCGCAGCCCCTGGAGCTCAGTGGGGCCACCCCCCCGCCTCCCATACACGTGCCCCCGTGGGAGCGCTTTGGAGGAAGTGGGGCCCACAGGCCCCTCCACCGGCTGGGAGTTTGCCGTTGGAGTCCCTCTCACCCTAGGACACCAGGTTCCAGGATGGTTAATCTTCATCTAGGTGTGTTTGCTTTCCACCTCGCCTCCCCCCACCCCACCCCAGGGGGCCCATTCAAGTTGCTCCCTTCGTGGATGCCTTTCCGGGGAAATCCTAGAACCCGCCTCCAAACCCTCCAGATTATTTTAAAAAGATCCCACCCCTGGCCCTTGGTCAGTACTTATTTACCTTCCCATACGACCTCTCTCAACTCCCCCTCCCCCCTCACATTCCCGCACCCTCACACGTCCCTCACCTGCCAACCCCCACAGCCCCTGGCTCCCCATGCCACCCCCACCCTTCCAGCTGCAGAGGTGTTATTTATGAGGCTCTGTGGGGCTGAGAAGAGCAGATGAAACCCTAAAATATTTCATGTAAAGAGAGTTGTCTCCGATGTGTTTTGGCATTGGGGGAGCAGATGAAGGTTATATTTGGCAGTTGTATCGAAGCGATTATTGACCCACAGATGGATCTGGGAGAGGCGGTCGGGTTGTCTATGCTCTGGTGTGCGAAGCCTGCTGCTTTGACTTCTCAGCAGCGCCTAGCCTGTCAGCAGTGGGAGATCAAGTGTGTGTTCTGTGGCTCTCCTCTGCTCTCCTCCCCACATAATGATTCTCAGGTGGGTTCAGGCATCAGACAATCCAGGAAGGACCTCACCCCACTTTGGAGTGTCAGAGACAAGTTCATTATCTCCAGCTCTGACGCTGTGCCCAGTGGGGCAGCCTGTGCGGCGGGGTCTTTGTTCAGGGCTGACACTCCTGGTAGGCACCTCGCGTGCTCCTGGGTGTCCATGTGCCTCGCACGGTGATACGCCGTCGTTCTGATCAGCCCGGGGAAGGTGTGTGAGCATGGCCTGACATTTAAGATCATGGCTTTCGTGAAGAATGTTTTCTGGGCCTTCTTGTGGGCCATGTTTTTGGGAAGTGTAACATCATGTTATTTCTCTCCTGGGGTAGTAAATAAGGAGACTTGGCCTTCGTGTTTGTCATCTGATATGTGTATGAATAAATCTTTAAATTCCTTCCATAGGAATTTTTATCCAGCCCTGCTGTATGCAAGATTTTTAACTGCCGTTTCCCAGTTAACTTGTCGTGTCTGTGGGCTTGTTGTGAGCTTAGTTAAAAATGTTTAATTGATAATCCAACTGGTTCTGAATGGGGCAGAGTTCATTGTGTGTGTGTGTGTGTGTGTGTGTGTGTGTGTGTAACCTTCCTAAATTGGATGTTTGTTGGGGTGAGATGGGTGGTCAAAATAGGGAATTAGTTTCTTTTTTTGGTGAATTGGAAATTGGGTTGTGTGTCCAGCAAACATTCTCCAAGGCCTTTAAACTTCTTGGCCAGACACTCCAGTTTTTTCCGGGACACAGCTAGTTGCCAATAGTGCATGCTGCGGAGACCACTGTTGCAAAAGGCCTGAAGTAAAACGTCAGTTCTGGGAAAAGAGAGGCTGATGATAACAAGAGGTTGATTGCTTTCCTCCCCTGCACTTCCTCTGTGCGCTTCCCTAAGGTGGATCTGGGAGCTGGGGAGCCCAGCCCTGCTGCCTGCTGCCTGCTGCTTGGGCCGGACATGGGGACAGCAAGGGATAGGTGTTTCTTTTAACCAGTGAATTAACTTTGCCTGAGTAAAAGGCCAGTGATCAGGCGAAGGGCTTCCGGGTTATAAACAGCATCCATCCGATAGGTGCACCAGTTTTAAGCCCTCTCTCCGGAATTGTAAAGTTACATACAGTAGTTAGTAAGAGAACACACTCATTTCTTAAGACAGAAGCAATATTTGAGCTTCTGATAGGAACATTTTGAATTTCTTTGAACAGACTGAAAATCTCATTTCGGGCCAAGTCTTGTCACTATCCCGTGGACGTGGTTTTGAAGTACAGTTGGAAGTGAACTCTTGTAGAGAGGAAGGGAATCTCTGGTTAGCTTTGTTAAAAGCTCCTGGAACCCATGTGAGTGAAACACAGTAAAATGGCTCCTCTGGTTAAAGGTTAGAGCCAGAGTTTCCCGCCCCACACCTTCGATCCCTTTCAGGTTGTCCTTGACTAAGTCCTAGAGCCTGACGGTGCCTGCCTCGGTTCCCCCTCGGCAAAGGAAGGAAATGGTCTGTGCACTCTCATTGGGACGTTTGTGGGACCGACTGACTGATAGCCAGTTGGCTGGGAGGTATTTTTAGACAGTTTCTGACTTCAGTGAGCAAGCAAAGTTGCATTACTTTCTATCTTATGGGGCAGAATAACATAGCCACCACGTCACAGGGTGGTTAATCTCTTCGTATCTGTGCATTTTTGTAGATGAGTCAGGTTTCCTCAGTCCATTTCTGACTTTTGACAGGCCCTTCCATCGCAGACCCGGCAGCATACCTGTGCTAATCGAAAACAGTCCGGAGGGAGTGACCTGCTTTAGGCTTTATTGGTTTGGCAACGTTTTGATTCTTACGCAACCCTGGGTATGTTTATGGCACGATGTAAATGTTACATAAGAACATGGAGGCTGAGGTGGCCGGCACGGTGCCTGTGATCAGGGAAGGTTAGGCTTCATCCTGAAGGACCTTGGGGGCCTGCAATCAGTGCGGGAGAAGCGACACTTCATTTCCCCCCAGAAGCCTTTCTGGTTGATTGTGTCTCTCAGGTGGACTGCTGTGTTATAAATAGGTTTACTCGCCACTGGTGAGCTAATTGTAACCTTGCTACCAAAATATGAATCAGAAGGCGAGGCGAGGAGACGCGCCGCCGCTTCCAGCAGGTCCTGTGGCAGGAAACGCTTGTTGCATTCTGGAACATGAGTTGAATTGCTCTGCAGTCTGTTCTCATAATAACTCGGGAGCACAGGGTGTCGAGGTGGAATGGGATTGTCAGCTCACGGTGCTGTGGGGCTTTCTTTTTGAAGGTTAAATTAGAATACTGAAGTGGCTCTTTTGTTTTAATTTTGAAATCCTTATTGTGTGCTGTTCAGTTTTTGCTCAGAGCAGCAGTGAACATTAATTCTGGAATCCCGCCTCTTTGTCTTGAATTCTCGTGTTGTTTGGTGTAGCAGGGGTTGGTGCAAGGGGGTCTTATCTCATTCTCCCTCTCTGTATTTATACAGTGAAAACCCTAGAGTCTCGTTCTCACCAGCCCTGCTGCCGCCGGAGTGCTGCAGGCACCGGAGCCCTCCGTTCCGCCGGGACTGGGGTTGCCAGAACCTTTTAAGGAATCGGCTGCTCGGACCTGACAGTGCCCACAGTCTAACTTGCATGCTCTCACTCTGCATGTAAGTTAGACTGCTTCCTGGCCAGGTTCAAATGCCTGCTTCTGGTTTTGCTCACCTCAGTTTCTCTCTCACACGTGGTTTAACCTGAGCTTGGGCTCCGGAGGCTCCATCTCTGGCCTGGTGTGTTCCCCTGCCTCCGGCTTCTCTGTCATGGAGAAAGGTACTCATTGCAGAGTGTACTCGTATCTCTCTGTCCCTTACTCTGTAGAGTTGCCAGAATTTAGTTGTGAAGTTTCCATCCCAGGTAATCTCATCTGCTGTCTGGGTTTCAGACGGTGCTACTTCTGGCAGCTTAAGGGTTCTTCTCTCTCCCTCCCTCTCCCTCTCTCCCTCCCCCTCCCCTTTTCCCTCTTTCTCTCCCTCTCCTTCCTTCCATCTCTACACACACACACACACACACACACACACAGTCCTTTTCTCTCTCTCTTCACTTAGTCTTAAGCCTACATTTGTCTTGCTGAATATATTAAATTTAGCATAATAAAAGTAACTACTTCTCCCTTTACAGTATCAATCAACCCTCATATTTACACAATTACATACAGGAGAATTATTTATTCAGATGGGTATGTGCCTGGAATGGTTCTTGGCGTGAGGAAATAATAGAGAACAAGATGGACAGAGATCCATAAATCCCTGATTATCATGGAATTTACAACTGCAGTGGCTTTGACCGAAAATAAAGAAGTAAACGCAGTGACCAGTTGTGAGTGCTGTGAAGACAGTAACCAGGATGCTGGGTGAGAGGGTGCTGGGAGCTGCCCTCTCGCATCCACCTGGCTCTGTGGAATGGGGTGCTGCACTCACCTCGTTATTTGTGGTCGTTAATGTTCTGCAAAGTCACTGGAGCACTGAGTTATCAATATGGAACCAGTGCTCCAGGGGACAACAGAGGGTTAGGGTCCTGTGAGCCGCTGATCACAGCATCACCTCAGTCCGTGCACCACCTTGTCTTCCTATTTCTGTTTAAGTCACCTTGTTT